AAACAAGGTACAACATGAACATGAATGGCCCCGACGGGACCGCTGACCGCACCTCCGGTGTAAGACTCAAAAGTGGTTGTGAAACCCTTTTGCTGAATGGAGAAGGGGATGATGGGAGTTGCAAGCTCTGCCCTTCTATGCTATCAGAACAACAAGACCACCAAGCTCAGCTTGGCAGTTTATATATCGTGATAGAGGATAGTTCGAGATGAAGCTGTCGAATGATACGTATAACGGTTGAAGGTGTTGATGATTGTTGTTGATGAAGTTGTTGATAGAGGTGTCAATGATAAGTGTTGAGAGTGAGGCTTGAACGCGCAACCTTGAGGTTGATGGTATATAAATTTTATGCTTCGACCAGGAATGGAACAGAGGACCAGGCACAGGTGGAGGTAAGTCGGAGTTAAGGTGGAGTTAAGATGGAGTTGAAGTGGAGTTAAAGTGGATGTCTTGAATGGGAATTGAACCCAGGTCCTTGCGGTTGGGGTGTATAAGGGCAAAAAGCAGTGGATTTCAGGCAAAGGTGAGATAGCTTAATGGTTATGAAAAAAAGTAATATTGTTATTTCTACACTATAAAGGACTGTTATAATATATATAAGGGGGGTTATAAATGTAAAACCTCAATATTAGGTAGCTAATAATAATGAGGAGTGACCAGTGATGTAGTGTTATAGGGGGGACTGACTACAGAGCATCTGATGAGGAGGGAATACAACTGGCAGGCAGAGGCCTCCTTATATAGACAAAAGTGAGGGAATTTAGCTCCAGGGTACATGCAGGTGAGGGAATTTAGCTGGCCTGAATATCCAATGAGAGAATTTAGCTAGTCTAGTACATGCAGGTGAGGGAATTTAGCTAGTGATAGCACAGCCTTGAGGGATTTTAGCTAGCCTACAAGGTCCTACTACAAAGGAATGCATGTGCACCTACAAAGGAATTCAATATGAAACATGAGCTAATAAAGGAATTCAATATGAAACAAAGGAACTCAATATGCAATATGCATCCAGTATTCAAAGTGAGCTATAGTCAGAGTAAAGTATCCAAGAGACATCTATAAAGTTGAGAAAAATTACCAAGTCCAAACAATCTGAAAAAATCTGAAAAAAATCTAAAAAATCTGGAAAAATTAGAAAAATCTTAAAAGATTGGAAAAATTGGAAAAATCTGAAAAAATCCCAAAAATCTGGAAACACTTAAAAAATTTTAGAAAAATCTAAAGAACTTGGAAAAATCTAAAAAAATTCAGAAAAAACTAAAAAAATCTGGAAAAATCTTTAATTTTTTACAGTATTTCCCTAAAATTTACAAGATTTCCCATCTGGGAAATCATGTCAGGGATGATGTGATAACAATGAAGGATTGAAAAAGGATCCACAGCGATGGAAAAAAGTCCACATGGAACATCTATGTTGTAAATATGTACGTGTCGGTGTAGCCAATCGTGATCTCTGGATCAACAGTCTATCAGCTAAATTCAGCTCTGTGCAGCCCCTTGATCCGCAAAAACCGAACCCCCACGGCCGCCTGCTAAAATTGCATAGACAAATACATATTTCTGTCAAGCGGCTGTAGTTGTACATACATAACATGTACAAAATGCAGGAATTGTGGTGTGTGGGGGAAAAAAAAGAGGGCGTGCCTGGGTTGCACAGCGTGGATGTTTGATAATATCCTTGACATGTCCGGAAAAATACATATTTATTTACAAACCAAAAAGCTATGTATGTACATGCAGGGAACCATGTATTTCATCCGAGCAGGGTTTGTGAAAAAGAAACATATACACATGTTGTAAATGTTTGTGTTTACAGTCAGTGCACCACTAAAAAGCAAAGAGACTACTGTACTCGGAGTAATTAATTTTATTAATTTTTTCCTATACTTGAAAAAAAAATCACACTTCTACCCAAGCGTAGGAAATCACACTTAATCATACTTTTCAAGTGCCTCAACATCAGCGCGGACATGTGGCACCACGGCAGCGGGGGGCAAAGGTAGCTTCCACGGAAGTCCAAGTGGGTTACATTAACCGGCAATGTAGAAGTTAATTTGAGGAGATAAAGGAGAGAGGGTGTAACTAATGAATCAAGCTATGTACAGTAATAGGATTGGCGGGTCTTTAAAACAGGGAGAGATAAAATTAAGTATGTTGATGGAACTGGTAAGAAATAAAATTCAGGATATGAAGCCGGGGTAGTTGAGTGGCACGGGGAGATTTGGGGCAATAAAAACATAAGAAAAATATGTACATGGCAAGAAATGAAAATGAGAATCTAAAAGCATGGCAGATGAGAATGATGGGGGAGGGGTCGTTGGGCGGCAAGCACATAGAAAGCTCAAGAGGGTTGTTAGCTGAGGGCAGATGCCAATTGTTGTCCAATTTTCACTAAATCACATGGGAGGCAAGGTTTTGTGGCTGCTTGTTGTTTGGGGGTCAGCTTTTTCCACCACCTCGAGCTATAGAAATCTTTAGGAAGATTAGGACTTGACTGCACCGAGCCAGGGGGTGCATGCTCTACTCAGCTTTGAACATGGGGTGGTGGTCCGCTGGGCTTTGAGAAACTTATGTCCCTTTGATGGGCACTAATCTCATCAAGCTGGATGAAAATCTGCGTCATTTTCGAACTACGCCAAGGAACAGCCATGATCTTGCAGTGTTTGCGACCTCGTTTGCGGTTCTTCAGAGGGGCCTCTTCGTAGTCGGTCTGGTCTTCACTACTAGCCGCTTTGATAACTGGATATAAACATTCTAAGCCACCAATTTGACTGGCTGTACCTAGGCGTGTTTCAACCAGCTGCAGCATATTGAGTTCAACACAAGCATGATAAGTGTATGTGATCTCTATCAGAATAAATAGCCATAGGTACCTACATGTAATCGACGACCTCTGCGCTTTTGGAGGCTGGTGTGGTTGGTTTGTTTTTCCAGGGTCCATAGGTTCTCCTTTTTGTACCTACAATAATCAGCCTTTTGGTCATCAGTAAAAATCCAGCACCAGGCAATTGCAAAATATCACTGAGCTTTTACCTTCACGCTAGCGTTTCTCTGACATATTTGCGCATTTCAGAGGCGATAATTTGGGGATCCTGGTGGTCCATGTCTACGCCAGCGTATTCACCGCATTTCATCAGCTCAACAAAGATGTCTAGTGCCAGATCCCAAAGGAACTTGTTATCAGAGGAATTCGGGGCGAATCGGCGGACACCTGCTTGATAAGTCATTTTCTGGATGATCTTGACTTGCTGTGGTGTTGCCACTTCGTGAACGTAGCGGTTTGTTTCTTGAGTGGACGATGGCCTAATAAGATGCCCCCATTCCCTTCTTTCACCTTCGGTGGCTGGACGTGGAAAATCTTGGATTGGGTGGACCACCCTAAGAGTATCGCACAATGTTGCCGTACCAGCTTGCGCAAATCAGATCGTTGTACGGGGGTGCGTTGTGATTTGCCGACTGGGATGTCTTTGTCGGGAGTCATGCGATCATTCATTTCATTGATCACTCGTAAGATTTTGTCAATTTGAGATATTTGGTTCACCTGAGTCTTCCGCATGACCTCGATTTCGGCTGCTGTGCGTCGATGCATATTGTAGCAGGAAGGATGATGCGGCTCATCATCATCTGAACCACTAGGCCAAGCCTCAACATCATTGGATGAGCTTGACGGGATCACAGGGGCTGGGTTGCGGAACGTTTGGCCAGATTGGGTCTCAGAAGCTTTCTGTTGTTCACCAAATGCTTCACAGATAATGAGAAGCTGGTCTTGTTTGAGTGTTTGGCATGGGAACCCATGCGCCTTGAACTGAGCTCTCAAGTCGGCCGTTGATAATGACCTCAAGTCCATGTGGTTCCCGACCGACCATGGCTCTTCAGGCCCTCAAGGGGTGATGTCTTCTTCAATGGCCAAATGATCGTCATGGTTGCTGTCAAGTTCGTCTTCTCCCGTCCTCTTCCGACAAACACTGTGCTGTCGCGTCCCTACCTTGAGCTTTGCCTGAGGACGCCCTTTCCGCATCAGAATCATGCTTGGATTCTGGGGAGCAGAAGTGATTCTGCGGGCGGACGCGTCCATTAAGATGTTGCGACCGGGTCCAAAGACTGCGTTGCAACTCATGTGTATAATGGGCTTTGGACTCTGCGTGCCTGGTCCCGCCTTCTGAAAGGTGATCTTCTACTGACATCACTGATTGTCGGTCTTCATCCATCTCATCATCGGTTTGTGGTGAGATATGCTCACCTTCAGAGTCATCCGACGAACAATTGGAGTGCTGATCTTCATCCATCTCATCATCGGTTGGTGGTGAGATGTGCTTGCCTTCAGAGTCATCCGACGAACGATCATCAGCCATCTCATCATCGATTTCTGGTGAGATGTGCTCTCCTTCAAGGTCATCCGACAAACAATCTGATTGTTGATCTTCATCCAGCTCATCAATATCGGTATCTATCAGGGGGTGTTCGTGAATAGGCTCTTTGGGTAGACAACAAGATTGTTCATCCAAGTATTGATCTTCATCTTCTTCATCGTCAGAAATTGTGACCCAGTTCTGGAGCCTTCGTCGCCCACCAGTTAATACCTGTTCTCGATGGATGGTTGAGTCGGCGGGGGTGTCGCTTTCTTCCACTGATGTATCTAAATATTGATTTTCATCCATATCATGATCGGTTTCTGGCGGGATGACCTGGGATGAGGCCGTATTTCCGGGGTTAAATGATGTCCGTCTTCGAAGGACTGTTATTTCATTGGATGAAGGGCTGCTGGCATAGTCGTCTGAATTCACCACTTCGACAGACCCTCCACGTTGATTGGCCAGGCCCCCGCCCCCTGTCAGATGAAGGATTGGGCCGACAACGCGTGGCAGTGGGCCAGGCGGATTGGGCAACTATCGACTCGTATCCCCTTGTCGAAGTTGTTTGCCGCGTGGATCCCGAGTTCACGCCTTTACCTTTCTGGTTGAGCACTTTCCTGACATTGCTGCTACATGAGGTTGCTACCAATCCAATGCAATACAGAACATATTGTCAGAAATGCCTTGGGAACCGTATACAAGAGATTTCCGAGAAAACTGACAAGGATTTGTTAGACGCGCTGCTACCTGACCGTACGATCTTTTTCCAAAAGCATTGACTTGGGGAGCCTCCACAACTGGGGGCCAATGAAAACAAGCGTTCTGGCTTGAAGCGAGACAGCGCGGCTGCGTCTGAGAAATGAATGAAGGCCTCCGGGGCATGATAAAATGACAATGTGGAAAAAATAATTATGTGAAACACGTCCTGTTGATTAAAATTGGTGGAAGCAAAGGAAAAATAACATTCAGTTCTGATACTGTGTCCAGCAGGTTAAATGAAACCGGTCGTTTGAAGATAATAATATCTACACTTGAGGATTGCAAAGCAAGTGCTTCTTTTGTGCCACAGCCTCACAAGGAGCATATAGGCTTACAAAGTTCGAATATTCCGAATCAAACGTACCCCTAAGAGGAGTTGGAAGTTGGCATTGGACTGCACATTGATCCTTTGAGTACAAAGAGGTACAAAGATATTGGGAACTTTGCTACTGTTTTCCAAGATCGGCGACGAAAGGATTTCCTCCATGCGGGTTGATCGTATTGTTCCCAAAAGCGGCCGAACGGTGCGTCCCAAGCGCAAGGAACGCCGAATTCTTGCGGGTATGTGCCAAAGGGATGGCAAAAAAATTCATTCGTTCATAGGGATGGCAGAGATATCCAAACGTGGTACAACAGTTATCTGTTTGTAAGTACTTGTGTCGAATGCGACGATGTAAATAAATAAATACATATGTGGCATAGATATTATACATTTTACATGACACTTGTCTATCTATCTAGCTGCCAATGCGTCCAAGTCCCTCATTTGCCTCTCAGGGCAGGCAGGAAAATCAGGCATCGTCATGCACTCTTTGTGCATACATAATTATGACATATATATGTAGTCGGGGATATTTCCCCCATACTCCCTTGGCCGAGTGGTCCCCCCCAGAAATTCAACTGTCTTTGCTGTCTGGCCGCAAACACAACTCCCTCCTCTGCCCCCAGGTATATCTCTTTGTTGTTTAGTCTTTGCCCTTACTCCCCCAATCGAATGGCCCAATCTGCCCACGATTTGACATTGACAAGACCGGCTCAAGAATGGCGCAAGTATCATGTGGAATTGTGGATGCAAGCCCAACTCGTTTGTTGGTCAACCGAATTGCCGGTGCAGAGTCATCAAGAGCCAAACCTGGTATCATATATCTCATTTCTCTGTTCTTCGCATTTTAATGAGTAAATCATGTTCCACCACTACCTGGCTCCCCTTTCATGTACAGTTGTTAATGACCTGTTTACGATGGCGATTCTAGCCTTTGGTCAACTGGCTCCCCATCGCCGTGCATCACCGTAATGGTTGACGGCAATCCACTTCTTCAAGAGGATCACTGGTTCTATGAACACGGACCTTGATTCTTCCCCATCCGTGATCATCCACTGCCTGCCAGCCTGCTACACCATCTATTGATAGTTGTCACTTTTTCATTGGCATTAGCTGCCAAACTAGCATTAGGTCACAACCCCAGAAATTTCAGACCGTTCCAGAAAAAGTGGGAGTCTGATCATCGGCAAGATTGTCACCAGCAAAGATTCAACCCTCATATTCCTATTCCCTTCCCCCCACAGGACAAAGCCCGCCCACTCTTGCCGATCAAAACCGCCAAGCATTGCGACGTCCAAATGCCCGACCCCAAACCATTGGCCTGGGTGGCGACACCCACAACCCGTCAGATAATGCCCCGTCCCTTAGCCGAGACTCGTTGCATGATTCTCCACACACATCTTGTGCCTGCACTGCTCAAAACCATCCGGTCGAGCACCCCAGTGCATCCCAGCCGCCGGTCAACAGTCCCAGCAGCAATTTAAGCAGTATACCGGACAGTCCTGCCGCAGCACCACCCAGCATTTCAGCGCCCGCGAGCTTGGCACAGACACAGGGCCACGTTGAACATCCCAAACGTGCTAATAAGCGTGAAGCAGACGCGAGTAAGTAACACACCATTAGGGCTTTCTGGTGTATGCATCGCCCGTAATATCACTAAGATGATCCATTTGATCAACAGTTAATGGGCTCATCCCCGCGCCGCAAGCGAAAATCTCAAAGACGCAGACTGCACATAAGTGATTTGTGATCCTCATTAATATCATTTGAGAACATGCTTGGTGACACAATGCCTCCTGAACAGCCACCGGCCGTTCAAAGAATCGAGAAGCAGCAGTGACCGCCGAGTCGCTGGATGCACGGCGTCACCAGCTCCTAAAAATGTGTTCCCGAGTGGCCAATCAGATGTTTCCCACAGTCGACACCAGAACTCCGATGTCCAACAAAAACATCCCTGTAGCCCCCTCTGGTCACCCAGCCTCGTCGCTCAAGCTTGACGCCCGCCCCGCCCCCGTCCCGAGCCATCCATTGAATCCGTCTGGGAATTGACATGGTAAGGTCAAAAAACATGTTATCCCTGCGGTCAATAAGACTCAACTCAAGCCCAAAGGTGTAGACATCCGTACTGCCCCCTCCACTTGTGGTAAACTGGTGCATGTCCACTCTGCCCCGAGTGGCGGCGCCAAATCACCAGAAATCCAACATCATAAGGTCAAAAAAAGTATTCCTCCGCCGGTTTATGTCAGCACTTTGCAAGATGCCATCTCCCCCATCATCCCTATGATCACCTCACCCGGTTCCAATTCACCTGATCCCAACCCCCTGCTAGACCTACTTTCCGCGGCCGCGACTCCACATCCCAATCGTGAAGTTATTGACCAGAGAATTCAAGATCCACCCAGTTTTCCTTCACCTTGTTATCTGATTTCACCAACTGAAGTTTTCGAACGCTGCGAGAGCAATGTCCAGCAACCTGATTTGATTATCTTAAGTCCTACCAATAATTTGGGATTGTTGTCCGAATCATGTTCTCCGCTGAGTTTCCCTGCCAATGATCAGCAAGATGAAAAGAGAATGTTGGGTAGTCATGATGCTATTCTAGGTGAGTCATACCTTTATAACCAAAAAGATTGATCGACTATTACGCTTGTAACTGAAGAGAGTGATCCACCTGACATCCACACAACAGCTCTTTACGATCCTTTAGTCGCAGGGCATTATATTGATCCACTTCTCGACACTGTCCCTGCCTGACATGAGCAAAGTATGCACCCTTACCCTACCTTTCACACTCTCTCATGACGCGCTCAATTAAATCTCTCTTCTACCTCTATTACTCCAACCTACAGGGATTTTACTCCTTTGCTGTCCCCCGGTGCAGTCCGCCCCCACCATGAGCAACCATATCGGTCCCTCATCATCTGCGACCCCCCCTTCATCAGCAACACCAATCCCACAAGAAGAATTCATTTGTCATCTGGTGCAAGCAAAGCTCATTCCCAGAGCAGATCACCGGTCAACTCAGCCGGGAATCTTGCGGTCTCTCCCTGCGTTACAGGAGGATCCTCCTGACGTGGGCCCCATTGAGCTCCGCTATCAGCGCTCGCTCCCGCCAACCAATCATGGAGATCAATCATCTGCCCAAGCCCCAAGCCAAAGTCAAAACTCTTCCGACCATTCAGATAATGTGTCCCAAAATGACAGTGATGAACTTGAGTACATGAATACATCACAAGCTTCCATAGATGAACTGGAGAGTATGTCTCAAGATGCCAATATGGTGTGACGTACTCCCTGTTAGAAAACCTTGTATCATGCTTCTATTCTTCCATCTTTTTTTGTTATATCTTCTTCCAAATTACCAAACTCACTTGACAGATTTCTTCATATTTGCTGATCTTGAGCCGTGGTTGTCTACAAGTTTCATCCATCTCAAATCAATGGTCCTAGGCTTTATTGCTAAGAAGATGCCTCTCAGCTCGATTACTTTCCTTTTTTCACCTCGAACCCTCCTTTTTTCAAAGAATGTCATATATTTAACATGAATATAGAAGATCAAACTGTCTCTCATGTGTCATTTGCCTTTTTCTTCAAGACGCTTGTTTTGTATTTTGTATTTGTCATGAATGTTTATAAAAACTACAACACGCAAAGGTAATTTTTCTCCATCTCATTTGCAAAAGTCTTAGCACCTATAATTAACGGCAATCAAGGCCAACACTCAGATGGTTATAAAGTGACAGAGAAACTCATTTCAAAAGTATCCTCCAGTCTTGCTTAAAAAAGCCCCGCGCGGGGTTTGTCTTATGTCACAAGTAGTTATTTCCAATGTAGCATTCGAATGTGAAAATACGCATACATATACATAGTCATGCTTGGGCAATAACAGCAATAATGTCTCCGAGTCCGAGTGCACTTCAATAAAGATGCATCAACACAGGTCACCGGCGCCGCCGCGTCCCGCGGATGTATCTCCCAGGATCCGCCGGTGCCATTCCAAACAGGGGTACTAACCCAGGTTACCCATGTAGTCGTACATACTATATGTACCGTGATTCGTTTTGTCTCCCATGGCTATGGGAAAAATAGTTTTTTTTTGCTCAAGTTGGGAAAAAAGAACATTCAGCACGTCTTGCCGGCTTTTGTTCCACAGAATATTTGCTCTCGCGCACTAGGAAATTTTCTACCTACACTATCTACATTTCATTTAATTCTAAACCCTAAACAGATTGTATAATGATTGAAACTGGAGAGAGACTGAATCAACAAAAGCAGCGCCGTCTGCAACCGAGAGAGCAAACAAGCTATGTACACTATTTACACATCATCCAATTCTAAACCGCAAAAAGACAACAACTGTGAAACCCAAATTGAGACTGGAGAGAGACTGGATAAATGGGCAAGCAAACCAAGAGGGCAAACCAACTACACTATTTACACATAATTTAATTCTAAAGCGCAAGAAAACAACAGCTCCAGGACACAGTTTGAGACTAGAGAGAGAGACTGGAGAAATGTGGAAGCAAACCAAGAGAACACACAAATCTGGATTGAAGGAGAGTGGGCAATATGAGGATATAACTAGAGGCAACGGGTTGGGGCCGCAGAATTACCAAGAGTGGAGGACATTCCAGGCATACTAGACTGGAACAAGTCAAAAATGCAACAAGGTCAGCACACGGTCGTGTGAACCATTTGAAGACGTTCTCAAAAGCAGAAACGTGACTTACACCGTCAAAGGACCGTTAGAACTTGAGGCGTTTATAAGAGTTACCCTCTCCTGCCTCGCTGGAGGAGCTCCTTTTGGAAGAACTCGCACATGGCAACGCTTGGGGAGGGACACTCGCGAAACAACGAGATCTTGTTTTATGCGCGAGCGGGAATGAGCCTGGGGGCAAATTAATCCCAAGGAACGTGATTTTTTCGGATTCCTTGAGGGCCGACTCGCCAGGCTGTTCGATCTGCATGGGTGATGGGTCGGATGACGCAGCAGCCACTGGGATGGAGTGATTCGATGGAACCGGGTCGGGATCTTCTTTCAAAGAGCCCGATTGAATCACGAGTGGGTTCATTGAAGGCACGGTTTGTTCTGCAAAAATAAAGTTATGCTCCTTTGATTTGCTGGAGGAGCTTATTGAGACACAATCCACAAATGGCGACAATTGCAGAGAGAGACTCGCGGCACAACAGGATCTTCTATTATGTGTGAGCGGGAGTTTGTCTGGGGACAAATTAATCCCAAGGAAAGTGATTTCGTCAGAGTCATTGAGGGTTGACTCCCCAGGTTCTTCAATCTGCATGGATGATGGGCTGGATGACGCAGCAGACACTGGGACGGAGTGAATTGATGGAACCGGGTCGGGATCAACTTTCAAAGAGCCCGAGTAAATCTCGGTTGGGTTATTTGGGGGCACAGTTACTTTGGCGATAGGTCGCCCTTTTCCCTTGGCTGAAGCCCCCAATGGATTAGGGGTGGAAGATGCAATGACATTCGAGATCCTTCCAGAAGATGGCCCGACCAAAATGCCGGGTTGTTTCGGCGCAGGAATGCTTCTAGAGCGAGTGAAGAAGTTGAAAAAAAACATGTCCAACCGGTTGAGGAACGTCGGCTTGGAGCTTGTTGTGATGGACATATGACGGGGGGAATTATTGGCGGCGTGATATGAAGCAGGCTTGGGATTCACTTGCATAGAGCCCGATTCCATTGACAGGGCATTGACCCATGGATCCGGATGGGGATTGCGGCCACGGGGCTCGACACAATCTAAGATTTGAGAGATCACCTCTTTGACTCGGGTTGAGAGAGTTTCTCTTTGCAAAGATCCGGTGGTAGATTGATGTGGCGGGTTATGTAGAAGCGGCTCAGAGCTACCTGGCTGTGGGTCCAATTCAAGCTCCGAAGAGCAAGCAAGTGGTTCTCTCGGAGGTGGGTCTGCTGTGTGAATAGGGTCTGAATTGATACCGGTCAAAAGAATTGGAGGCCGTTGCCTGGGTGCCAAGGCGTCTGAAAGCCTTTGTTGCATGCGGGTAACGGCTGGGCTCGTGGACGTGGCGGCGACATCTTCAGAGGTATTGACGTCAGGAGGCTGCTCTGCTGCAGCCCGACGAGTCAGCGCGGCTTCAATCTGAATGAGACATCGTTCAAGATCTTCAAAGCGTGGAGGAAGGGCATCTTGCGCAAGCATCTCGAGACTGTCTTGTGCATCAGTTACATTCTTGTAGACAATGCGCATGCAATTGTTGAGTGGAAGGCAATGAAACTCGGGGGTAGGACCTCGAGCAAGATCCAACAATGCTGTCCTACTGAACATGGGGTAGAAACCGCGCCGGTCAGGGCGAGGCTCTATTGCAGCCGGACCACCCTCAACGATTCTCTGAATTGAACGGACACGATGTGGAACTACTCTTGGGATGAATAGAGCTTGAGAGGGATGAGTGCTTTAATGGGCTGCCTCTCTGATAACAAGAAAATATAAGAGTATGGACTCTTAAGGAAAGGTGTGGCTTTGGAGATTTCTTGAGGATGGTATGTCTAATATGTCTTATGTTTACTAGTCTAAATATACTTGTTCACAAATCAAGGTATCCCAAATGTTGATGGGCAAATACCTGGCTAATAATGGGTGATCAGTTATCTGAATTGCTGGGGCAGGATCTGATGAGGAACAAATGAAGAGGAAAAACAAAGCTCCTTATATACAAAATTCTGGGGAGTGGCCAGCTTGTGGTTGGAAGATATGTGGAACATTCTATGAAGAGTATGAAACAAGGGAAAATATTTATCCAGGGAAACAGGGGAAACAAGAAGTGGGAAGGTGCTCCCAAGGTTACTAGTATGAAACAAATAAGGGGCAGAATATTCCATCGAAGGAGATAGGAGGAAATAACTGTTTCATGGTTCAGGGGGATTGCTACTAGTGTGGAACACAAGGGGTAAGAAGAATGGAATATGTTTGGAGGGGAATGAGTTTCAGGGCTGCGGAGTTGCTGGTTGGGAAATATTATTATCCATGTGGTCTGTGCTTGAGGGGATTCATGATTGGTTTGGGGGTCTGGGGAGCTTTCTGGGGTGTCTTGACTGTGTGATTCTTCTGTGATTTGTGCTCTTGATAAATTTGAATTTTCAGGAGTGGCTTACCACATCCACCCCCAAATTAGATGATGTCCCCATCATCCAGAAAGAAAAAAGAAAGAAAAGACACTCCTGAAAATTCTGAACAATATATCCTAAACAGAGAAACAGGTCAAAACTGGGAAATTCATGATCGGAGGTAGTGTCAAAAAAAGAAAAGAAACAAAAAAATCTATGGTTGTTATATGTAGAGGAACTTATTTTTGTACTTTTATTTTATGTAATGATTTTTAAAAATTTTATTTTGTTTTTATTAGCAAGTCATAATCAGAGGCTTAGTCCTCTGTATTCTTCAAGTAGCCCAGGAAATAGTGAAAAGATGATGACTGATGTAGGGGAAATAATAATAAAATGAAAAAACTAGGGTTTTTACCACCCCCAAATTAGAGGTGAAGTGGGTCTGGGAATATCTGGAGGAGGTAAGTAGACATATCTGCTTGTGGGCTTTAGAAAAGGAAGAAGTTCTGGTGAGGAAAGAGAAGGGGCATCCACCCCCAAATTTGGAAGTTTGAGGGGTGGTTCAGGATTCAACAGGTTTGAAACCAATTAGCCTTGTGTTTCAGTAAAAACAAATTAAAAGTGTCTTGATCTCTTCCTCTCTTTCTTTTTTTTCATTTTTTTTTTTTTTGAAAAGAATTCAAGTTCCATTTACATTTTTCTTTCATGTCAGATGTCTTGATGCTGATTTCTCCTGATTTGGTGTGTTTTGAACTAGGGGATATGTAGTCCTACCTGTAACAGGAGAGTCTAGTCTGATTTGAAACAGCTTGTACAAGGCTACAGCCCAGGGAGTCATAGAAAGCAGTAGTGAAAAGTCAGGATGTGGTTTGTTGGCATAGCAAAACCAACAAGTTGGTTGTTTTACTAGTGATCTCAGTACACATGTGGTTGCTTGATCATCTGATTGGGATTCCTGGTAGTGACCATCGATGAAACATGGTGGAAGCCTCCTCATTCAATACCATGCACACCAATCACGGAACTTCCTGTTTGTCCTGCAGCAATGACAACGGCTTGCCGATGGGAGTATTGGAGGCTTTGATGTTCTTTGTATTGTGGAAGTCTTGTTGCCATTTAATGTTGAAGTTTTCCTATTGATGAAGCCTAGCGTCTGTCCAATACCAGGGTCAAATGATTCGCTATGTACCTTTTTTGTTTTCAATCGATCAAACTCTCCAACAATCCAGGGTCTGTTTCTTCTTCTCCAAGCTTGCCACAAGACTTCAATGCTTTTAGGTGATAAAGTTGAGTGACTGATCGGTATTTTGCTGCTTCTGTTAGAACAACCTCTATTCAAGTCTGGTCGCCTGCTTATACTTTTTCTCTCCTGGTCCTTCCAGCGATCAAGGAAAACTAGAGCTAATGATTTGCTTGTCCCATTGCAACTACAATGGAAATTTTCCAAACTGTACTTCCGCGAAATTGATGGCTTGCTATTAATCGTCCAGCGCGAGTGATTGCCTAGTGAACTCTCCTCCAATGACCTGTTGCCTACCTCTAAAGAACAAGCCAAAGCCAGGGAAGCGGGACTGTTTGCTTCAACCTCCATAGTCCCTTCAATATTCAGGTTTGTCAATGACGTGTATTCAGATCTAGTGACAGGAAGTATAATCCTGTAACTAATCGATCTTTGCCTTTCCCTCTCCTTGAATCGCTGATCCAAATCTTTCAAATTCATTGGTGCGAAACTGGTCACTTCAACCGGGATAGTCTGTTGATGGACCCTACAGAGACCAGTTGATGAGATTAATAGCTTGCTCATTGTTCTTTCTTTTTGTGGTTTTGATTGAACAGAATATCCTTCAGCTTCATCGTTCCCTGTGTTGGTCCAACTGTCATGCAAGATAGCTATCCTGTACTCTATCGGGTCTGACTGCTTGCTATTGCACATTCCATTGGTCGCCTCCCAAACACAATAGTATTGAAGATCAATAACTGCTGATATGTGTTTTTTACTAGTTGCTGAGACTGAGGCCATGGATGCGGCAGATTCCATGAGTTGTACAAAAGTGGTGACTTCTTTGAAGGGTCCTCCAAGCGACATCGGACTTCCTCTCCACTTATAATCACTATTCCGAATGAAGTGATCATCTTGTAGGTGTCCTATTCGATTGTGATTGATACCAAAAGTTGAACAAACCAAGCAGCAAAAAAGCAGCAACAGAAGACTGTTCATACCTGCAAAACTCCCGTTTGGTGGATAAGGCATTGCTGATGAAAGACTTTTTGGTGAGCTTTCTTCCAATTTTCCCAAACAATTCCTGCTGAAACCAGGGTTTATCTTCTTTCTGTTCCATGTATCAATTATCCAGGGAGAAAATTTTCCAATGGTGAAGTTTTCAGCTGAAGCAAGGAGTGAAAAAATGACTTCTGAGGATCTGATTCTAATTGATGTTATTCCCTTTTTTATTTTTTCCATAGGTTTTGTCAGGTCAGACCTTAATTCCAGGGTAACCAGGGGGGGACCAGGACAATTTTGACTGATATCTGGGGACTTGAAGGGTGGGAATGTTTCTTGGTGGGTTGTAGGAGAAAAATACTCTGGGAAAATTTTTGTGATGGAGGCTGATTGAAAAATCATTTCTTTTGTTTTCCAGGGTCTGTTTCCTTGTAGTAGGGTCTATATGTTGTGGAGTTTCTCTGAGGATCAAATGC